AAAGTTTAGGTAAGAACATAATCTTGTAAAGAGTCTGAAAACTATTCTGGAAACTAATAGTTTTACTAAACAATACTATAACATCTAATGGTCCCTACATTGCTCAATTACATGGTTAAATCTAATGCAATTAGATTCAAATTATAGTGTAGATAACCTTTAGTTTTGATGAGAGGAAGGACTACACTTATATGATATCAGATTCACTTTGTAGCAGAGATAACCCATTGGTATTGATGTTATGAATGTGTACATATAGTTTGGAGTCCCTGCTAGCAAGCCTGAGGTCTGACGCTAAGGCAGTGGGTCTAGGCTCTATGCACTGCTGTGTGTATATGCATAAGTATACATGTAGTCAGGATTAGGTCAAATGTGATCAGATTCACTTTGTAGTGTATATAACTATTGGCATTGATGTCATTAATGTTTAAATGAAGTTTAGAATCTCTACTAGCAAGACTGAGGCGACAGGGAAAGGCAGTGGTTCTGTGCTATATGCACTGCTGTGTATATATTCGAATGAAGCAGAAACTTGAAATGAACTAGTTACATGTCTGAATACTACTGTAAAAAATGAAACTAGTAATTCACAACAATTCTAGCCCATTTCATGGTCCCTATCTTGAATTTAAAAAAATTAAAAAACATTTTGGCTTTGTATGCAATAATACACTGCACAAGTGTGTATGTATTCAGGATTAGCTCAAGTGATATCAGATTCACTTAGTAACGTAAGTAACCATTGTATTGATGTCATGAAAGTGTCCATGTAGTTTAGTGTTCCCACTAGCAAGCCTGAAATCACAGGCTAAGGCAATGGGTCTATGCTCTATGCACTGCTTTTGATTTTAATTTAGCAAAGGACAAGAGAGGAAGAGAACTAGTTAGATGTCTACATACTACTCTATAAAATAAAACTAGTTCTTAACAATACTAGCCCACTTCTGGGTCAATGCATTAATGTACTCTGTAGCAACATGTTTACACGTCCACTCACAAGTACTACACACAGCAGTTTTCGAATTGATTAAATAGGCAGCTGCAATCAAGTCTTTTAAAGAGAAACTAAGGAAGATCAGAAAAATTTTAGGTCAGGAATAACCCTTATTATCTATGATAAGAATAATCTCAGCTTACGCAAAACAGTTGGATCATGTTTTGTCACCAGTGTCTTTGTATAAATAAACCCTTAATGGTTCACTGAACCTCGAAGGCTTATAAATTTTCTTCAAGGTCACTAAAAAAACATTACACTTCTTCATTTTTTTTTTAAATGTAAGCTAGAGCAGTCAGGACTTCGTCATGTAATGCAACTTTTAAAGTGTTGCAGAGGATGGATTCCCTTGTAAAAAAATTCAGCAAGAATTTCTAAGGTTTTTCATGATTTTACATGATTATACAAGAAAACATAAGATACTAAACTTATAAAATCTTAACACTAAAATTGTTGCAAATTCTTTCTAAGATTTCAACAGTTTTGTCCGATCTTGTGAGATCTATCATAACTGCAAGTGAATTAAAAAAATTTCTATTAAATAAGAAAAAGTAGGGTTGTCAAAAAAAAGAAACAATGGGGTTTAGTTCAACCATAATAATAATTGTTCAATTAATAATAATAATAATTAATTAATTAAAAATAATTATTCTAAAAAATAATGCATAAATTTGAACCCTACTTTGCAGCATTTGATGAAGGATTACTGATTCCTTTAACATGACAAAGTTTAATGAAAGAATGACAACCCTACTGCTTAGTTCCAGCCTACGCAAGTGTGCGAGTTGACCATACTGACAATTCCTAACAATGTAACATAATCAGATCAAAATTTTAAAAATGTATATATACTAAAGACATGCATCCATGCTTTACTTTTAAAATCAAACTAACAAGTATACATTAATATTTTAATTTTCATTAATTTTTATGGTAAGGCATCACAAAAATTAAAGAATGCAATAGCAAACTAATCATCCATAGTTTAGAATTTAGGCAATCATTAAGTACAGAGGCTTAAATAATTTAAATTCATTAA